GCAAAAAAGGTTGGGGACCGCTGGACTAGAGTATTGGCAATTGTGTTCAGGAGACTGTGACATTTGTTCAATTCAGATCAATTTTAGGTCCAACTTCTAATACAAGTGCTTTCAAATTGTTGACAATGACATCCAAGTGCAATCACTGCAGTAACCAAGAAATGTTTTTAAAAATACATAGGATTTTATCCCAGAAGAGATACAGTATGTTGAACTATATCTCTGTGGTAATGAAGGAATAATTTCAGATATGCTTTTGGTTCCTGTTCCTGTTCCTGCTTGATCTAGATATCGCAAAGTGAATTATAATTGCTGGTACCTATTATAAGTGAGTGTATTTCTCCCTTGAAATGCAAATTATATAACTGAACATGAAGGTTAATTGTTGCACTGAATGCAGACATGATTAGATAGTTAATGTTTCTACTAATTAATCAACAATTTGTACTCAAAGTCTTAGTTATGTTTTCAGTCTAGTCTTTGGTATACTTCTCAGGTGGTCTGTGGAAAGGTTAAATCATTCAGAATGAAAACATGCTCTTGATTTAGGACAAAGCTTTTGGGCTTAATCCAGAGAAATCATGTAAACACTTAGTGAAATAGACGAACAAAGCAAAGCATAAAATCAGCTCAGTGAACCACTAGGGTTATGTATTTGAGTGGCTTTCCTAATTTTCCTAAAAACAACACAAGCCATTTCAGTATAACCATTTCCTGTGACCTTTATTTACCTAGTTCACTCACAGTTAGGGTTAACTACTATCTGACTACAATAATTGGCACAAATGATGTGTAAAGAGATTTTTCCAATATTTCGTCATACACAATTTTTGTTCTTCTACAATATCTTTATTCAAACACTGTGTAAGAATAAATATGAAAATAACCAAGATTGTATTTCATTTGCTCTCCAAAAATTTATTTTGTATTATTTGTATTTGGAAGCCCATTAGGAAAAGGTCTCAAAGGTCAAGGTTTTTTTTTGTGTTTTTTTTTTAAATCCGATCACAGATTTCTGTGATCAAAAAAAACAAATTCCAAAGCAGCTAGTCCAGTCATATAGTCAATCTAGATAATAGACTACTGTGAATATACCTTTTTATTTTTCTTAGTGTTACCTAATGGTTGAGTGGTATTGCAGTTGAAAGTTCGGTCTGATTTCAACAATATACTGTATTCTGTGTTCATGTGCTGGTTGAGGGTTTAGAAATCTGAGGTGTGCTTGCTGCCAAACCGCACTGTCAGAAAGTCAAACCAAGAAGACAAAAAAAGCACATATAATTATTGTTAAAAGGATTATGAACATGACAGCAAAGAAAGGAACCCTGCCTCATTCATCCAAGAAACAGAGTGCTAATACATTTTCATATGCTCTAATTTCTGAAGATTTTAAATACATAACACACATTAATAGCTTTATTTTGATCAAACTGTTTAGAATTACAATGAAGCACAATGAAGGATTTGACAATTAAATGTCACTGAGGTATTAGAAGATTCCATATTTGTCATAGAATTGGTAATTGCATAATTAAGATACTGGGCTGCAAGTTCAATGGTATATCAGGAGAAATGAATGAATCCTTTTAAGCACCATCTGTCTGACATGTTATAGACATGATAGACTACTGGCATGAAAAATACATTTTGCTATTAACCTTTGCGAAAGTGTCAGAATAATGCGTCAGAGTAACATGGTCTGGGCAACAATCGATTGTATGTAATATTGTTGGTTGCACCAAACTAGAACCAGGCGCAAATGGGATTTTGTGGGGTCAGGTAGTAAAAGCCCTCTGAGATTTGGAAAGAAATCATACAAGGCAAGACTCTGACAGCTTTGAATGGAAAGAGGGAAGCCTGGAAGGGGTCTTTAATTGCTCTCTGGGGGTGGAATGAAGCGACCTGTAAACTCTGGAACTGGTCTGTGGAAGGGACTTGACATGTCTGCTGGAGGACTCTCGTAAATATGGATGTAGGCCAAAGGCAGGACCTGCAATCTCTCTAATGGGGTAAAGAAGAGACATGACATCTCTGAAAATTGGACAAAGGACTCTGATAAAGGGGAGGAAAAGGGTCTGCCTACTTCCACAGAATCAAGGAAAGGAGCCTAGACACCTTTGACAGGGGAACAGTAGAAAGTCTGGACACTTGTTAGTATGTAGTCAGGGCTAGGTTGAGAGGATTGTTGATCAGTCTGAGGGACGCAAAAAATGTACCTGACATCTCGTGGACAGCTATGAAGGGGGTAAATGTTTTTGTGACTGGAAGTTTGGCAGCTTATTCTGTTCGAGAAGGTGACGCATGGCTTCTTGAACTTTAAACTTAGGTACCTACTTACTTTCTGATATTTTAGTAGTTCCTAGTTGACACAGCATTGGGGCACCTTTTGACTGCAGCGTGATTTTATTTTAATATAAAACAAACAGAACTTTCTCACCTACAATGATATGAATCTAAACATCCAGAGGATGCGAGTATGATGATTACGAGTATGAGTATGTAAGTATGATGCTACCAGAAGTACAACTTCCAAAAATGAAGCATTTCAGTAGCCCATAATTTTCAAATAACATTTTGTGTCACTGAAGATGTGTCAAGAATTGTAGGTGACTATTTAACCTTTGCCCTCATCTCAGAGATAATGTTAAAACATATTTCCCATTTTTTGACTACACTGATTTTAGCTACGTTTAACACTCAATGATATCAGTGTCACTGCGTGGGAAGCAAAAGGGAAAATAAAATGAGGTAAACCAAAGGGAAGAAAACAGGGGAAAGGGTCTGTACAAATGAGGCAGTGATCAGTGCTGACAGTTCATTATGGTTGGTAAATGCATCTATGCGGGGGCGGCTAGAGGAGAGACCGGAACCCTAATTGGAGCGGATCTCATCTCATAACAATATCACAACAATTTACATGCTTACATCTCTGGCAACTCAGGGAGATAGAGAATGTATTAGAAGGGTGGAGATTATAGGTTTGCGTACAAGTTTAGGAGCGTTTTTATGTTAGTTTGTGTTTATATAATCATAATGTTTCTTTATCTATGCACAGTCCCTGTGCATGTGGTCTCCGTTGCTTAATAGTTTGGAATACAGGAGCCAAAGTTTTTGTTCTATTTACATCAATTTTTATTGACCCAGCACACAAACAAGTATAGGGAGAATGTTCTTCCAAGAAAAATAACTACATCTGTTGTTCCAGCAAATGCCAGAAAACGTCATGTTTACATTCAAGTCCACTGGCAACCATAGTAAAAAAATAAAGGAGAGATTTAGGTATTTAGGTAACAGTATTGTAGAGTAACAAATTTGCAACGTTTTTGGAAGAAAAACAAATGATGAATTGTGATATTTGACATAAGGCAGTTTACGGAATATGTGTTTTCTTTAAGATTTTACAGTACTGAACTACAAGATGATATTCCATCAAAGCTGTAAGCAAATGTGTGCCAACATCTGTTTTGATAACAGTTTATTTACTACTGGAACCAACATAGTATGACTACATTCAAAGAAGGAACTTTAAAGGGATATCTTGATAAAACTCAATTTAGTGTGCAGGCTTCAGCTTGCAGGGCTCCAAGATTGGACAGCTTATCATCTACAGTGATAGTACATTGTCAACAACAGTGACTGCTAGCAAATTGGCTCTCCCTCTTCATTTACAGTAACAATGTCATCTCAGATCTTAATGGACTATAATGAGCAGCAAGTGTTTGCGTGTATTGCAGGTGCTGTCCCCTCTGACATCATCGGTCCTGGCTGAGAGGAGCATCAGGGTGCTGGATGATAAAGTGAGTGTGACAGAGCTGGGAGTGCAGTTGGTATCTGGACTCTCTCTGTCCCTGCAGCTCAGCCCAGGGAGTAACAGGGCCATCGTCGCCACTGCAACCACACAGGAGGTCATTGACTCACTAAAACAGGTATGGATCCAAGACATCCAAATATCATCATTCCTTAACCTACCACAAGAAGAGGGGAAAGTATCATCTTTACTGTATTAGCACTGTATGGTGCATTGCATTTGGCTTATAAGTTCAGGGCTTGATCAGGCTTATTATGGAGTCTATGATATGCATTAGAATTTTTCCTTTATAATTAATTCACTCTTGATATAGTGAAGCCATCTCTTTGATTTGCATATCCAACCACTGAAAAGCTCTGTTATTCCTGTAATTATAATTTCAAATGGGAAAAGGCTACTGTCTCTTCTCTTGGAGAGAAAAGAATATTTGACTTTCAGGGGAATAGTTCCATATCATATAATATCCACTCTATTGTTTCTATGAACCTTTCTACAGTAATTAAGGCTCACTTTTGCTTTCACCATGTTCCTCTGTTTAATTTTGTATTCTTACGCATTAGCTGGAAATGTGCAGATTACTGTTTTTGGAATTATTTCCAGGGTTATTTGGGTTACTGCTGTTGCACTAAAACCAATTTCTGTTTGTATGTGTATTTAATTAGGAGTCCCTCATCAGTGCTTGGCTCCAGTTCAGTGATGGATCCATGACTCCTCTAGACAACTACAACCCTGCCCATTTTACCCTGGCAGCCACCTCTCTGGATGAACAGGTGGTGATGGTAAAGCGCAGTGCGGCATGGAAGTGGCCCATTGTTGTTGCTAAGGGCGAAGGTCAAGGTTTGCTTGTGCGTGTTGAAATGAGCCCATCAGAGGTGTGCCAGAAGGGAAAAAGGCGTACTGTCACAGCCACTGGAATGGTAAATATACAAGTAAGATTTGGTCAGCCAGGGGAGCAATACAGACAACCAGGTGACCGGCGAACACGTCCTGATCCTCCATATTATGGTGGATCTATCTCTGACATGGAAACTGGGTTAATCAACCGCGGAGCCACAACCATTAGAGGCCACGTCCCAGTGAGACCTAATGGAGGGCGTCTATCAGCGGACAGTGGGGCGAGGGTCCCAAGCGAATTCTCTGAATATCCAGACAAGGCAGAGCTGCCTCGTAGCCGCAGCACTGATGAGGACTTGTTACCGTCCCGACGAGGTCTGACAGACCTGGAGATTGGTATGTATGCCCTGCTGGGAGTCTTCTGCCTGGCCATCCTGGTTTTTCTAATTAACTGCATCTCTTATGCATATAAGTACCGTAGCAAGCAGCTTTCCCTGGAGGCCCCAGAAGCAATGCCCCATGCCCACGACTGGGTTTGGCTGGGCCAAGAGGAGGGGCTATGTCTGCAGCAACAGCAACAGGACGAGCTTGGTGGTACTCTAGAGGAAGGTAGTCAACTATTAAATGGAGGCGTCCAGCGTGGTAATAATGGTGTGGGAGGCTGTAGTTCGAGTGGGAGGGATCACAGGAATGAGTCGCTTAACTCACCCACTACCAAGAGAAAGAGGGTGAAGTTCACCACCTTTTCCAATGTCAAGTCCAGTAATGGATGTCCTGTGCTCAGCCCATTAGCACTAGTGCAGACCAGTGAGATAAAATGGGTATGTCCGGACATCGAGCTTGGGGACTCAAAGGATCTTAGGAACTACATGGAAAAGCTTAATGAGAATGCAATTAAGAACATTGCATAGGGGGTACTGGGTGTTTTCAATGAACTAAAGAGAAACTCACCTGAATGCCTTCAGAATAAAGAGGGAACGAGGGTTGGAGGGAGGAAAGGAAAGAGAAAATGAATAAGGGGTGCATAACAGACCGGGGCTGCTGTAAAACTGTACTTCAGCATAACAACAGTAAAGTGCATTCAGCCGTTGTTGTTTCCATGGCAGTGAAGCAACGGACTACAAAGAGACATGATTTGCCATGGCACCACAGCATAGTTATGGGGAAAATGTGAACTTGATATTGTTGCTTAACTTAAATGTACGTTGTTTGTCTTTAATTGAGGTTTAGTTCCCTTTTCTATGCGCCATGTACTTTGTTTTGTGTTTTATTTTTTAAATCATCATGTTTTAATGTTGTATTTGTTGCTTTTTTTAAAAGAGTTGCTGTATGCTCCGTACCACATGTCAGCGATTATAGATTCTAGGAAAGAAGAGCAAATTTTGTATTGTATATAAACACAGAGTTTGATTTTAAGGTATTATATGTATAGTAACATTTTGTAACAAGTGCTGTTTGGTTTTGCTTAGGTTTTGTTTGTAGTTTAGTTTTTGTTTTGTCTCCAGAAGCCAGATCCATGCATGATGTTATTAATGAGGAGGCATGTGTGTATGATCTGGTACCTGAAATGAAAGTGTGTAGATAACTAATACCAATACCTCTGGAGACATGTCGGTTTAATATTATTGCATTCATTCATCATGGAGCTGAGTTTTGGGTTGGTTTCATTATGTTAATATTGGTTTAAAAAGTTTTGTTAGCCCACACATTTTCCCTTCTTATGTTAATGTTGTTAGTTATGCAACTCCCTTTCATTCAGTTGCATACCTCAGATAAAGTAGACTTTTTACACTACTTTAAATCCTGATACAGCCTGACATTCAATTAGAAAATTAATTAGTTACATTCAAAAGAAAAAACACTAATCACCATCAAGAGAATCAATAGACAATCACATAAATAATGTATGGATCAATCCCTTCATTTATAACGTTCCATAAAAATCAGTCCAGTTTACAATTTGTATGGCCTGAATTAGGTTGAGCGACTGCTGTATATGAAATATTGGAGTCCTGACAGTGAATTAACAAAATTACCACAAACTGTGAAGTGAAAGCCCAAAGTCTGGCCTCTTCTTCGTTTTACCATGTCAGTATTGGTCCATCGTTTTCTATCTCTGTTTTAAAATTGGCTGCTGGACTAATTAAAACTGAGGGTGACTCTTCTCCATCATGCTGCTGTATGATTCATTTTTCTGGCTGTTGTATTCTTCTCTGGGTCTGTCTTGTTTTGCTCATCTGACTGGTTTATGTGAGTACACAGACAGTGGCTTCATCAAATATCAAAATGAAGTGTCTGTTGTTGTTGACAGTCGGTGCAGCTGCCAGCTGAAGCGGGAGAGATAAGTTATCTTGCAGCTATCATCCCAACACTTTCAATCAGCAATACATTCCGATATCCACATATTTTTTTACCCAGTGTATGAGTGTTAGTATTAATCTGTGGGAGACAAAAATGGTCAGGTAAGATTATTTGTTTTTTTAAATAATGTTTTGAAATAGTGGTACAGTATTGGAAAATACTGATACTCACAATAACTTAGTTTTTGTACAAAAAATCATCCAACTGTGTAGTTACTTGAGAAAAACTTCATAGAGGGGCCATGTGTTACCAACAAAGCTGCTATTAAAAGCGCAAAAACCCTGTCATGGGCTACGTTTCCATTCAGTTTAAACACAGTTTGAACATATTTTCTAGGGGCATAACAAACCCTTTAAGGTGTCATCCCAAATAAGTAGTAAATAATCCCCCATCTCCTAGAAATTAAATTTATGTACAACTAATTTAAAACAGTAAATATGTTTTAAAAGAAACCATCTGAATTACAGTTAAAGTTGTTATAACATACCTGCCATCTTGCAAAAATACTGATACTCGTATCATTTAAGTATGTTCACCGACAATGTACTTCATTCGACTTCTGATTAAATAGACAATCTTACACTTACATTCAAAAACTTTATATGCCTGCCAACCATCCCATACACCTTCTTGCAACTCCAGCATGGTACATGAAAACTTAGTCAAAAAACGTAGTCTATAAACAAAATCTATATCACTATAAGGTTATTATGAAAACTATTTAGTATCATACAAAAATTCAAATTTATGAGCACCATCAGTGGAGGAAAAGAGGCAGTGAGTGGGAGAAACACAAGTACCTATGTATAAGAAGTAAAATTGATAACTATTAAAAAGTGGTGTATCCAGAGGCAGAAATAAAGCTGAGCATTATAAACATTATCACCTGCATTTAACACCATGTGATAATACCTGTGAGTATCATGTGTGCATCATAATCAGCTGTTAAAAAGGTTCTAGGCCAAGTGCACCAGAGCCCTAAATAAGTCTCTAACCCTCTCAGACAATTAGTCTTTTTCCACAGGATCACAGACATGCTCCCCTTTCTAAAAGGGCAACCTAATTAGAGATTACTTAGTTCAGTCTTATTACATGTTAATGTGGCATTTCCTATGCAATTTATCTTGCCCACTTACTGTACCTGTAAATCTACTCAGATATAATTTGCAACCTAATTAAAACAAACCCAAGGACCTTTGCATTGAAAATGTCCCAAGGTAACCAGGAAGACCTAAAGCAAAAGGAGGAAGGAGACCTTGCTGCAGCATCCATGTGTTCAAATCCGACCTGTGGCCCTTTGCTGCATGTCAACAACAACATCCGGCTTATCGACATTGCTAAAATGCAGACTACAGAAGATTGCAGCACTTTAAACCAGGATATTTGCACTGGAGAAGACGTGAACTCCATGAAACTCCCGCCAGTGACTCAACTACCTTTCAACTACCATAACATGTGCATGTGCGGACGACTAGGTATAATAAACACAGACCACAGTTTGAAAACTAAACTAGAAACTAGAAAACAGGTTTGAAAAGTTAAAAAATCCCCATTAGACATGTTTAGATAAAAGAATATATAATAATATATATATAATATATAAAGAATGGACGAGGGAGAATTATAAGGGGTTTGAATAAACGGAAAAAGCCAAGTAAGGCAAGAATGGTAATGAAGTGAAGGGGGATGAAAAAACAAAACATCATCCTGTAACTTTGTTTTACAAGTGGTAACACAATTAAAACATATTGCTTCTGATATCTTACCCCAAAATAATACAGGTATCCTACATATGGGGGGCAATGAAGCAGGATTTCATAGAATTTTTAAATGGCCTTGATAAACTGGAAGCCCAGTTGTTGATGACTGGACCACTGCTAATGGTCAAAGGGATCAACAGGATCAGCAGACTTTTTTTTATTGAATATATGGCTCACCAAGCCTGTGGTCTGAAAAGGATCAACTACACTGATAACTTTAATCTGGTGTTGGGATGTATGTATCTTTTCAGAGCAGATGGCCTCTACCCAATATGATCTGGAGTAGTAATCATTTTTGGCTCAGCCTGCAATACCCATTGGCCAGGCCTAAGATGCACCCTGACACACCGCAGCCTTGGCGCCAAAAAGACAAAACACCACAGCCTCTATGTGAATAGGCTAATAACCAGGTCATGGATCAGTCTTCCAATTCCTGCTCTTTTCACTCTCCCCTCTCCCCTGTCTCACTCCTTTTGGGATTCACTGACAAAATGGAAAAGCTGGTTAATGCTGGCATTAAACTCACCCCCTCCGAGCTCTGCCTCCACCCCAGCACAGCACATTCTGTGGCACCGACCTTGCTGATAATGAAGACAACAGAGAGAGAAAACAGCTCTCTCCTACCCGTGTTGGTGAAGATAAGCCCAGCAAGGTCACCAACACTTTTCCTCATCAGTCTTCCCTTACCTCTACTCTTGGGGATTGCTCTTACAAGCCAATATCAGAGATATGTGATGCTAAGTTGCAGAGCTGCATCTCTAAACATGGCCAGTCAAATCAACACCAAGCGAATCTGCCTGGCATGAGTACAGACAAAAGAGAAAATAACTTGGACATACAGGGTCCCTGCACCATGTCTACTACGCCCAATATGGCATGGACCTATTGCATCCTACTGTATTTGCGCCTCCACCACTGCCAGGTGGGGGACTAAACAACGGTATGTTCTATCCATATCCTAGTTTTGATAAGTAGTAGAATGATCAAGATGCACCAAACTCACACTGCAAAGGTATACAATTGGATATCCATTCCTCTTCAGCCACATCTGTCCAGCCCTCTCAGAAAAAACCTGAAACAGGCCCTGCTTAATGTTACATCTTTAACAAACAAATTATTTTAATTGATCCTTTTCCTACTTTTAAACTTGATTTCCTTTTCCTGCTTTCTGAATGTAAGCTGGTGACATACATATTAGCAACCCCTAACACATTTGTATTGACTCAGCATGTAGATGCACCCATCCTCAATTAAGGATACACACTAGATCTGATCATCACTAAGGGTGTTAATATTTCAAATGTTGATGCAACTGACCATGCTATATCATCATGTCGAAGCTTTACTTGATGACTCCTACACATCATCAATAACGGTTAAGTGGAGCATCAATGAGAATACTGGTGAACAGTTAATGGAAGCTATCTCTGCATTGCCTACCCATGATGTTCCATCTGATCTTCGAAACCATCCCAATTACAAAGAGGATTTCATTGATGTCATTACAGGGTTAACTCATCATCTGCTAAACAAAGCTCCATAGAGAAATGCCAAATCTGTAATGATCCAGAGAAGGGAATGCCAAAAAGCTGAGCCAGATGGCGAAAAACCTCAAATTCACATATTTAAAGGGAAACTTAATACTTACCATTTAGAACTAAGAAGGGCTAGGCAATCCTTTTCATTATCACCAATAATGCCACTAACTCACATACTCTTTTTTTGACTTCTTCAGTAATAAAATTCAAGGTCAACCAGTAAAAATTAAATTTCATGCAAAAAAAATTAATTTCCCATCTACAATCATATGATAGGACTATGGTGAAAATAGCGTGATGTTGTGCTGTTGACAACAGAACTCAGGAAGAAATTGTGCAGCATCTTAAGCTGTCCATCTGCTGTCTTGATACTCTACTAACAAGCATCTCTAAAAAATGTTTTCAGCTGTTTGGCAATGGATTTGAGGCAGATAATAGCTTTCTTTCATCAGGTAACTGTCCAGAAGCCTTAGGAAATGCAGTCCTCAAGTCTCTCCCGAAACAAGAGTAATCTAAATACATCTGTGATTATCGACAAACCTTCCCTTTGTAAGTTAAATAATTAAAAAAGTTGTCTACCAGCGACTAAGTAAATCTTTAACATCAAATAGTTACTTTGCTTATTTGCAAATCTGGATTTCAGCCCTACACAGTACTGAGACAGCTATAATTAAGGTTCTGAAAGATATTTGTTTAATAAATGAGTCAGGCAAAATTTCAGTTCTATCCGTATTACATTTCAGTGCTGCGTTTTTTTTTAACACAGTTAAAATGACTTTTGCACAGCCTGAAAAACTGGGTTGTGCTCTCAGGCTCAGTGTTAAAGTAGTTCAAGTCATATCTTCAGGGCAGAAACTCGTTTGTCTCAATAGGTAGTTATGATGCATCTGAGCAGGCCAAGATGATGTATGGGGTTCATCCGAGGCTTAATCCTTGTATGCTTCCATTAGGCTACATTATACAGAACAAAAATATTAAATATCATTATGCAGACGAGACTCAGGTTTACCTTGCTCTGTTACCAAGCGACTACAGTCTCCCTGTAAGAGAATTGAACAAATAAATGAACTGTCTCGGGCTAAATGCAGACAGACCTAAGATTACTGCCTTTGGAACAAAAGAAGAAAGGATGAAAGCCATGTGAAATTAATTTCAATATCTGCATTCTATCATCGTAAAGACAGCCAGAATCCATGCCATGTCACACCAGTGGGGCCCGCCCCAAAGTTCAAGAAACATACTACTGATGTAGAATGTCCTAGAGCAGCGGTCCCCAACCTTTT